TCCTGCTGACAGTCACCCGTCAGGTTTTGGCTACGGAAGAGCAAGGAGATGGTCGTGGCGTGGGGTGAGCCCGGCACTGCCAGCAACCTTGCACCAGGGACTCCCCCCTGGGGTGCCTGCAGTCCCTTGGCACTGAAATGTGTGTGTACAGGTAACAGCCACGCCCTGGTAAAGCACGGTGAATGCAAGTGCTGTCGTTACAGAGATCTCCTCTCTTATAAAGCCTCCTTACAGACAGCAAATCATGGGATCTGCTTCGTCCTTACCCCCTCCAAGGCAGTTCAGAGCATTTCCCTCTTTTGCACCATGTGTTCGGCCCCCAGCTTCTCCCCTGCTTGCAGCCATCGCCCTCTCAATCAGGAGGGTGTGATCAGACTCTCTGCAGGCGGGCGATGCCAGTCGCTGTCACGTTCGTGGTGGATGGCTCTGGTTTCTTTGTCCTTGGGGTTCCCCAGCCTTCCCCTGGCCAGTGCGAGAGCGCAGCTTCTGCTGATCACTGCTGGAACGGGCAAAGCTTTCCACGTGTCCCAGCACGACATGCGTGCGTGCACACCAGGGGGGATCGTCAGGCGTCTGCTGAAATACCCTGCTTCCTTGCAGCCCTCTCTGCGAAGCTGCCCGGGGTGGGGGGGAGGGAGCCTGCAGCACGCTGCCAACCCTCCCCTTGACCCCGATGAGAACGAAGCTGTCGAGGAACAACCGCTCCCTTTGTTGTGCCTCTTCTGAACCGCCATTCAACCAGGGAAACAATGCTTAAACTGTGCTCGGTTTGCTTTGTAACTTCTTCCCTGCCATGCGGTGCTCACAGCAAAATCCGGGGGTCTGTGTGAGGGGATGCAGGCAGGTGGGCGAGCTGGGCAGGACGCTGCATACCACTGTCATGCCCAGAAACTCTCGGTGACCACATCCCAGGGAAAAGAAATCAGGGTAACCTGCGCTGAGCTGCTTTGCAGGAGAGAATTACGTCCAGCGTTTGTCAGTGCGATTCGTCATCCGAGGATCCCCGTGGATCCACCGCAGCTCCTGGCGTCTTGGATGTCAGCCGTGGCATGGAAAATCCTCTTTCATCGCTGGTGGCCGATTCCAGATGAAAGGCAGCCGCTTCCGCCGCTCCCTGCTCTTGCCGAGTCACTCGCCTTTCAGTCACATCCTATTACTGCAGGCATGGGATAATTTGTACCAAAGTGCAGGATCAAAAGAAATAGTTTAAAAATAGCTAATTCTATAGCCCTTCCTTTGTGTCCGGCACGGCCTCACCTGCCCGTGCCTCGCTGCCTGTCGCTGATGGCAGTGGTACCCGCCGCATCTTTGCGTGTCGCCTGCTCTGGGAGACGGCCCTGCCCGACCACAAATCCCAAATCCTTTCCCTGCCATTGCCTGGACATGGCCATTGATTTGGATGTCCAGCATGGTGACGAGCCAGATTACACAGCCCTTTCTATTCATCTACTCATCTTCCACACGTGCCTGGGCGTCGGAGCCCAAAGGCAGGGGATTAGCATAGTCGCAAAGCCAGCTTGGCTTTTGCGTAGGAAATTAATGTCTTTGGCATGGAAGCAGGACTGTTTTTCTCAGGCCAAGCTCTCCTATGGAGGTGGGGGCACCAGCTACAACCAACGTGTGCTTCGGGCCCCAAAACTGGCTTAAAAATAGGCCAGAGCATGCTGAGTCCTCACGGCTTTGCAGCCGGTGGGTAACCCCGAGGCTGGCCCCTGTTTGCAAAATGTATTTGCCACATACAGTCAAAGCAGGAGCCCGCCTGTAGGAAAGGCAGCCTGTTTGTGGGCTGCACTGGAGAAAAACTACTGCATTTTCCCCAAAAATTGTTTATAGCATGCCCAGCACTAGTGAAAAAACATGATATCCCAGAAGGTTTTATTTTTGCAATGATGTATATTTTATGCTCAGGCCCACGGACATGTTTGTTCACACTCCAGCCTGGTTTTAATCACTTTGAATTAAGTAACTGATCTTATTACTGATCCGACTATGAGAGGGCTTATCACAGGTTCCTTGGCACATGATGAAGATTACTCCGTCAGTGCGACCACGTCTGAGTAATGTGATGTGTCCTGGAGCTATTTTTTTCTTCACCCTCCTCCAGGACCTTGATCCTTTGGTTTCTCCAGCCTGTGACCAACTAAAACCCGCTTAACACTACTGAAACCCAGACATGTAATGGGACAAAGGGAAAAGCTCTGCCATTTCTTGTAGCAGACGTCATTTGTTTCCTGAGGTTTTCATTAAATTGAGGGCAGGATTATGTTCACTTAATGGACACGATTGTGGGTGTAATTAAAAGCAATATGAAAATAGGCAGTATCAGCGAGCATGTTGAACACAGCTAATGTTTAGCGCTGGTTTTTGAGTATGAGATAAAAGACGGGCAAATAGTGCATCGTTCATTTTTTAAAAGGGATTAAAGATACGGGTTTTACTCCAGTCCTTGCAAGGACTTTGTGCGCAGGTTCGACTCTGAACATTTACTGGTCTCCTCTCTTGAAAGCAGGCTTGGGACCAAAGGTCAGCAGAGTTTGGACAACAGCCCCAGACCCGTGGTGGGCTGGAGCAGCAGAGCTGCTGCTTTGCTTTAAGCCTCTGGCCCTGGGGTGTTTGTTAACAAGTTGGATAGAAACGCCTAATGTCCCATTTAGCTAAAATTAAACATCTTCAGAGAGATGTAATGAGTGAGGGGAGTCAGGGGTTTGCACCAGAGGCACTGGAGGACTGGAATATACATGCTGTATGTCCGCCTCCCACCGTGGGTGCATCATTGACCTCCAGTTTAATCTCGCTGTGCCACCAGCATCCCATCTGCAGGATGGGTGCAGTAACGCCACGTCAACCATCCTGTTTTAGCCAGTGACCTCTTTAGGTCAGGGATAATATGCAAATATATCAGTTTGGTCCTTGGGGTCCTGGCCCTGCGTGGGGACCCCTCTGCTCTGCTGTCCTTAGACAGGGGACAGAGGCTGGTCACCCGGTGCTGGCCTGCAGGGAGACAAGAAGGCAGAGCTGTCGCAGTCCCTAGGCAGGACTTGTTCTCCTTCGGTGAGGACACGCCAGGTGAAGAGGCGGATGGCACCTCTGTTTAGCTGTGATGAATAATAGCTGTTGCTGACACCTCGTGGAAGCCTTAGATAAACATTTTCTCCAGAAAACTTTCTGTTTCATTTCCTCTGCTGCTGCTGGTTCCCGACCTGAGGAGCTTATCTTTATTTATATCATCTCCGGAGCACCCAGCCGTGAAGCAGGCGGCAGGGCCCTTGGCTGCCTGCGGGACCGGGGATGGGAGGGCAGCCGAGGAAGGCTGCCCGGGGACTGTCCTTTCCCTCCCCAAGAAGGAGGAGGGCACATCTCCTCCTTGCGTGGTGGTGAGGGCAACTCACCATGGATGCGTGTTGCACATCAGATGTGAAGAGGAAAGCATCCCCCTCCTGTACCCATCTCTGAGTCTGTAATGTCCGTCGCGTACATGCCTTTTGTGTGCCTGTTTTGCCCGTCTCCATTTTTCAGGGGGGCGTATTTGCAAGTGGCTGTTACAAATCACTCTGTCCTTTCATTTCAGAATTTTGAATCACTTTGGAAAAAAGACACAGAAGTTTTCCTGGGAAGTGGGAGAATATTTCCATTTGAGAAACAAGATCGCTGAAGACGCTGCAGTGAATCAGCGGTGATCTGGATTGGGGCATTGCTCCCGGCTCCCTTGCTGAAACCATCAGACAACATCACTCTGTCCAGGGGAGGAGTCATGGCCTTGAAACCTGTTCTCACTGCTTACCCTTGCTCTCTCAGCTCCCACCTCTTCTTCCTCCTCAGTCTTCTTTTGTATTGCAGGCACTCTCTACTTGCCTGACTTTGTATGAGTCATCGTTTCACATCGTGCCTGAGCTGCCCGTAACCCTGGCTGGTTTGCTTTCTCTGCTGCGTTATAGGGTCAGCTCCATCCTGACCCACAGCATGAAAGAAAAACTGCTTTGGAAACAGCAAAGTGAACAAGCCTTTCTTGTTATTCTTGTTTCCTGGCTGCTGCTGAGCGAACGTGACACCCTTCCAAAAATCTACATCCCAAATGACACTTGGGGGCCCGAGTGAAGCTCTGAAACACTTCATTTTGGAAAGGAAATCTCTCCGCTGGCTCTTGAGGAAGTACGTAGCGTGAGGGTTGACCACTGCTGAATGTCAATGCCGGCTGATGGGAGGCTGAATAAATGTCTCAACTGGTGTCATGGATCTGTTGAGTTTGTCGGTGTCCACTGGTGGGATAACCCAATTTTTAAGGCTTTGAAACTTATTTTTTATTCTGGTTCCTTGACAGAGAAAAGTGGTCTGGCAGAGGTGGACAGCAAGGTGATATGGTCCTTCAGCTGTAGGTATCCCACAAGCCCTCAGGGATGGTGACAGGCTATCATCAGTGTCCTCTTTATTTTGGCTAGGTTCACAGGCCACCCCTCATTAAGCCTTGATTTTGGCACCTGTAATAAATGAGCTACATTCATCCTTTCGGAAACCTAGGGAAACTCCCAGAACTGCAGCAGAGATTAAATTTGATCCAGTGTGTTACAGGGGGAAGCTGAAAGGTCTACTTGTCCCTTAAAAGTTGAAAATGTACCTTTTGGGGAGCTTTTCTGTTTCGTAAGCAAGCAGATGAGAAGGGTCAGAGAGCTCCTGGCGCTGGCGGATGGCTGTGGCCTTCAGCTTGATGTTGGTTGTTAAAAATATTATCCCAGATGTATTAATATGACCAGACTGGATTGCATCTGAGCTGAACATTGTGAGCCTAAGGCAGGACATAAATATAGAAGCAAAACAGCCTGACATGAGAGTCATCTGTCCTCTTCTACACAAGAATTGAAGGGGAAAGAGAGGGAACTTATTCTGTGGCAATTTTTAGACATGTCCAGGCATTAGCCTGAGCCTCAGAGAGCGCCTGCACCGGGGTCCTGGGGCACGGAAGGCCCCTGCGTATTCCTCGCTCAGCCCTAGGGTGCTATGCCACAGGACTGCGCACTCAGCACATTTTTAACCTGGGGTTAGATTTGCCTAGACAAGGTCTGCAATTGGGAATGACTATTTGTTTGATGTGTTTGCCTAACAGGATTACCCTTATCATAATGATATAGCAACCTGGCCTTGGCAGAGCAAACCCCAAGGGCTCAAGGGGTCAAACCTTTGCCTCCCTTGCCCCAAATATGCACAGCGTAACTCGTCTCTGTTATCATGCAATATCCAGACGCTGCTTCAGCTGGCATTCAGTGCTCCACTTTTGGAAAGAGCAGTTGTGCCATGTACCGCTGCCTGCTGACATCACGCTTGGCATTTCTCTCTCTGCACCTGAAAAATAAAATCGTTAATATTCAAAGGTTAGAAGATGATGTGATGTTTTACAATTAGAGAATGAGATGCCTCCCCTGTTGGGAATTACTCTGAGCAGGTGCCTGATTCAGTTCAGTGTGAATTTGTTGCCCTCTGGCTCCCTAAGAATAGAGCTATAGGTAACAAACCAATGAGTGGTCTGCTTTTTGCATTGTATATCATGAACACGCCTAAAATTGTCACAAAAGCATCTGTTTGTCTATAAAAGTATACCTGTGATTATTAAAGTTTGCTGATCTAAAAGACTCGAGGAAGGCGTAGGATGAAAGCTCCATTTTCCTGCAGATAGGTGGGGTAAAGGTTTGCTAAAGCAGAGCCTGACTCTGATGATCAGCAGCACCCAGGCTTGTCCACCCCAATTTCTGGCTGGGGTGGGGGGCACCTCCTTGCTCCTCGACAGTGCCATTTTAACCCCAGCACTTCTCAGGCCAGCTGACGTGAGTCTGGCCTTACCAGCTCCCCGGGCTATTTGCAGAAGCAGAACCTGCCACTCGCTGTTTGTTGGTTCCAAAACAAGAAGGATCCTCTATTTATAATGCGCTATAATTGGCTTGAGTGAAACTTGTGGCTCTCCGGGCTTTAGGGCCCCAGGTCTGCTGGTGCAGCAGCACCCTAATTCCAGGGGATGCTGCCAGGGATGCTGAAATGGTTCTGCATAAAGCCGAGGGATGTGTAGGTACATAGTGTGAGCCCTATGTTCACAGGCTCCTGGTTTCTGGAGCAGGCTGTACTTGTCAGGGCTGTGTAGATGCCCGTCTCTAGATGAGGTCTGGGGGGATGGAGCCTCTTTGGAGCAAGGCAGAGAGAAATCTTCCCGCTGCAGTAACATCACTGTGGAGATGCTTGGGTTGCTGCAGGGAGCGTTACCCTAACCATCCTTTTTTCCCCCCAAGGCATTTATAGCTGGGATGTGAACAGGGCTCTGCAACT